TTTTATTTAAGTCATTAACTTTTTGTGCCTTTATGTAACTTAATATTATGTCATATTACTATTATTATATATTCTTGTTGATAAACATTGCGCCTCAATTAAATTTGTCCGTTTTGATCTAGAGCCACAAAATTTACAACTAGTGCGCCTAGCTACGACCCCCTCATGTGATCATGCACATGCATAACGGTATAGTGAGGGCTGATGAGCAAAATTAAAGTTTGCAGCACCAACTTTGCTTTGTTTCCTTAGCTAGCTATTTACCATGAGAATATTATAATAATCCTCCATTTGAATATAATAATCAATTAATCATATATTAATATTACTCTAATAGAGTGTTCGAGATTATGTTATTTTTGTTCTACAAGTATTTCTTATTAAGATTAAAAGATAGGGAGAAGATCAAAATCACGGTCCAAAATTGTCGGTCAATTATAGGCTCAAGAAATTTAAAAAAAGGGGAGTTAGGCTATGTCCCTATGTTTAATTCATCTGATCTGATCGATTAGATTAGATTAATTGATTTAATTAAACTTTAACCTAGTTTATACAGTACACTAATCCTTAAAATTAAAAAGTACTATCGAATGAAATATCATTAAATTCGTATTAATATTTAATTTTTAAATTTTTAAATTTTCATACATGTTAAATTACGGAACGAATTAAAAATATTTTTAGCAATAACTAAAGGCGATTAAAAAGACCTAATATGTTTTAGTTTGCTTTGCTCCAATTGTGTTTTAAATAAACAAATACTTTTATATATGACTAATTAAATAAGTTGAATTGAATATATAACAAGCTAACAGCCTTACCTAGTTTAATTATTTTGTGGATATACATAGAAAGTAAAGATGTAACACATATATGTTTGGTTTTTAATGGAGTATGATAATATTGGATATTTATGGGTGAGAGATAAGGGTATGTAATTTTTCTTTGGCATGCGTGCAATCGTGCATAGGCCTCAATCATGAATTTATACCATAAAAGTATAGGATAAGTAGTTCATATATGGTTCCTTTAATTTATCTTTTGGATTCCACATTTTTGTGTGTTGATATTGTCCATTTGTCCTAGTAAGTTGTGCACATTTGGAGTTATTAATAAATGATCGACCTTTTTGGTGTTGAATCATGTTCAATGGATTAGGATGAATATACTAGATCACATTGGCTGTTTGTTTCTGATCAATGATTAAGTCAGACCTCAGACGTTGTTTGTTTGTAATCTCACATACTAGCTAGAAGTTTGCTACTTTCAGGGAGTCTTGTGATAATTGAAAACCCAATAAAACGTGAATTATAAGCTGATAATGGATGTATCAAGTGATATATCGGGTCGGATTTGATTATTGGACCGACCTTATATTATTCTACCCTAGCTTTGCTTGATTTATCTAATCCAAATTTTATTTTAGGAGGAGACAATTGTCGTAAATATATAAACGGAGTACTCCCAGTAAATTAAAAGTAGTGAAGGAAAAAAAATAAAAATCAAGGAATATTAATTATATATATATATATATATTGCTAAATATAATGTAGAAAAGGCATTGTATTAAGCATTAAGATGATATTATTGTGGATGAAAACAATATTAATTAAGTTCGGATGATAAAATCACACATTTATAAATGTTTAGTAATCCAATGATTTTTTTTAGGAATCCAATAATTATATAATTTGACTTATTATAATAATTCCTTAAGATTACGTTTAGCATTTTTCTTAGAAAAAAATGAATTTTGTTTAATATGTGATACATGCCGCATATAAACACATTGGGGTCATTGTATAACCTATAATACAGAGTACTTATAATTAAGAATCAACTGATTAAGATGGAGAAATGCTTGGATTCAATCCTCTAATATTTGAAAAGTTGAGACTAGTAAGTTTTTGTCCACAAGACAAGATTCTAACTTGAGAGCTTAATTATGGAAAATCTAGCAATAATTATAAATTAAAAAGACTTTTAATAATGATAAATAGCACTGTATTGTATATCAATTTGTACAATCAAACGACTAATCACTGAAAAATCTTTCAATTAAAAGCTAATAAATCAATTAATCAAATCAGCTGATAATATGAAAAAATTACGTATAATGTCTTGTCATCGTACGTGGACCACATATAATTGTGTACACAATGTCTATCTGTAGAATTTATAATCATGTCTTTGCTGAAACATTGGACTTTACAGTCATCATAGTGTTCATGGACTCGATCAAAAACAAAACATTCCATATGCTTCTTAAGAGGTGGATTTCTAGATAATATAATCAATAATGTAACGAATTGAAGGTTAATTTAAAACTTTATCTATTTATAATTACACGTTTCATTGCAGTCTTGAAGGTTTATACTAGAGTTAATTTTGTGAAATATGACAAACAATAAGAGGATAAGGTTATTAAAAATAAGTGTTTGTGTTGTAATTCTTCTCTTCTACTTCTAAATTGTTTTTTTTCCTTATCACTTAGCTTTTCTCACTTGATCATTGTATGGGTAATCTATGGCTGCACTATGACTTCTTTTTAAAGATTTTAAGTAACGCAACATCAATTTGACACTACCTACTCACTTACCGAGGAATTAGAGGTTGTGGCAGCGCTATTTTGGAACAATCGAGTCTTGAATATCATATCATAACTTATCTAAAATTATTAGAACTTAACTTATTAATCTTTATCATAATTTATCTATAATTATTATAACTGAACTTATCAAGTTATCAGCTCATTTGATATAAGTGGAAATAAGGTAAACTAAAAAAGACCTTATTTAATGCATGGTATTCTTGACTAGCCGCCGTCAAAATTGAAACTGGTCGGATCAAATCAGATTGATCTATCAATATATATAATCACCTTAACTAGTGTACAACCATCCTTCAATTGTAGAAGAAGCTAGTCACTACTAGATGAGAAAGAATATGAGAAAACAAGATGCACCCCACCTCATGACATATAATTTATGAGTACGTGTAAGAAGGATTCATGGACCCTATCAATAGTAAAATTAATGGAATAGTAATAATGGTAGATTGTCAGATGAAGTGGGGGCTATGATAATTATTATTGTTACTAATGACAGATTACCTACGCAATTAAGATGATCCCTAAGGTTCCACGATTCATCAATTATTTATGAAACCTTATTCTTGTTATTTCATACAGTAGTTCATTAATCCTAATGGTCCACATTACATAGTAGATGTGAATTATTAGCTAATATAAGTAATATAGTTGTATTAGCTTCTACTATTAGGTTAGGAGTTTGAGTCAATAGTCTATTCACGTAATTAAGATCGACGTTAGCTTTATTCTTGTAATGATTCAACAGATGCTCTATTGAGGTATCAAGTTTGAGCCATGATGATACACAATAGTATTAACATGAGTTTTCTCTCCTAAGTTGAAATCTAGATTAGTCGGAATTTAGCAAGACTGATATGATCATATTTTGTTGGTCGTTCGCTTTACAAAAATCAATGCAAAACTAGCATGTTTGCAATTGATCCAGTGGTGTACAAGCATCATCATTATATTTGTGAAGCTAATAATGAGTTGGTTTTGAGTTACAACTACTCAAGTAGAGTATAATAAGAACATCAATTTAATCTGAAAGTTTGACAGCTTGACTTAGGTAAGGAATGGTGGAGTTTAGTCCATAGAAATAAAAAAACGACAAGATAAGATGTAATGGAGGAAGCAAAATATCTCACATGAGCAATGTTAGTGTGCACGATATTTCCAATAGATAAGATATATCATAATTCTACGTAACTGTTTGCTTGACTTCATTATATATCCATTAATACACTATATGCATTTTTGCAACAATTTAAATGTTGTGTTATTATAGTCATAGCCAATTAGCCGTTTGTACTAGTCATAAATTCAATCGTATTTGAACGTTTTGAATTGTGAATTAAAAAGGGATTGTTTAAAACTTGAATCGTATCAACATGTAATTTTGGTCTTAACCTAGTCTGAAAGTTACTCTTGGCTAAATTTAATTAATATTAAGATTTAAAAATGATCTAGCTTGAAAGCGGATTAAATTTATCTTACTTACAGATGGCTTCAACCAAGCTAACTTGGACTAAGCCTAATTGATCGAGTCACTTGCCAACTTTAAATTGTTTACAACAAAGTTATCTCATTTGATGAATATATGTATATTGAATTTGAAGCTTTAAGTTTGATTATACAGAAACTTGTATTTGAATATTGAATTGTATGTTTTTATGGTTAAGAAACTTCAAAGTATTTCAAGTAGAGGGGTTTCTTCAATCTTGAAATATGCAATTGTGTGTATAGAATATTTTAAAAGAGTCGTAGAGTATTAAAATATCTATCTTGACATACAAATGTATAAACTTTCTTTGATTTCTGAAAAATATTTGAATTTTACAATTATATTGTTATCATTTGGATTTTAGCACAAGAAAAAATATTCTTGAAATTGATATATTTTGGTACACATATGAAGCCTTTGAAAGAAATGGGCTATAAAGAATTGACCTAGTCAAGAAAGAACCAAGAATTTTCTACTCAAAGACTTCAACATGTATATTAGAAGCAAATTTTATGGGCTTAAGCCCAACACAACGGTCCAGTTTCTTCAACCAACTGTTCTCTAGTTTTAGTTAGTTTCATAGAATCATGGATTTGTTTCATCATACAAATGAGTTGTGTGCTCAACCATTTGAGTTGTGTTGTTATGTCCAGTTAGAGATTCGACATATAGTTTGAGTTAGGATTTTACTGCACTTCTTACAAGGTGAAAATTTATAGGTAATAAGTGGAGTGATTGTGATTGTGATTTGTGGAAAGTCGTTGAATCCGGTATACACTTCTAGACTAGTACTCAAGGTTCCATCTACCTTCCCTCGACATACGAAAAAATTCACACTTAGATTTTTCATAGAGCCATAGCCAACCTCTAGAGTGTCTGTGTAACAGACAAGACATTTCTAAGCCATTTCAACCAAGACCACTTCATTATTATTAATAAATCACAATTATTTTACATGGAAAACATTAATACATTTGCGGAATAGAAAAGGCATTCCTGGAGAAAAGAATCATCCAAAAAAATCATGTCCTAGATAACTACAGAACTTGGGGGTACAAACTAGGACATTTCTTCATCATTTTTTACATCGTTCTGATGGTTGTTTGCACCTTCAAGAAGGCTTTGGTTAATAGATGAATGTCCCCAAGCCCTTTCTTTCCACATTTCCTCGACTTCCTCGAATGCCAATCCCTTTGTTTCGGGAAGGCATACTGCTACGAACACAAAGGCAAGAAGAGAGATACCGGCAAGTATAAGGAAAGTTGGACCAGTACCTGCAGCATCAGCAATCGAAAGGAAGGACTCTGAAACAATCACGTTGGAAACCCAGTTTACAGTAGCCGCCATACCCCCACAGATGCCTCGATAAGCTTGCGGGTAAATCTCAGAGTTCACTGTCCAGGGGACGGGTCCCATCCCAGGAGAGAAGAAAATAATATATAGGGCAAGCCCTACAACAGCAAGGGCCCCAGCGGATTGAAGAAAGAAAGAAACAGCCAAGATCATGAGGGATGCAAACACACCTGCCAAGCTCATCATGGCTAATGGGCGACGACCCATGTGATCAATGAGGTAAATGCCCACAACTGTTCCTGCAGCATTCAGGCCCGCAACAACGAGGGAGAGAAGGAGAGCAAGTTGGTTAGAGCGGAAACCGGCCATTTGGACAATTGTTGGACTGTAGTACATAACTGTGTTAATACCAACAAATTGCTGACACGCCTGCACAGAAGTTCAAAATACAGAAATTAGATCAAATTAGTGTATCACTAACCAATAGACTGTGGCAAAGACATCAGCCAATAGTCTGATACAGCAAAAGGCACCGCATCAGGCTAGATTTTGGCTAACAAGTACAGTGATGGCGCTAAAGACCAGTATAGGCAATATTCAATCATCATGTTCTCTGTAAAGTTAAACCTTACCTGAAGACCACCTCCGACAAAAAATGCTAGTCTCCTTTCTTTATTCCCAAAAACATCCCAGATACTGGCTTTCTTTCTACTAAGCTCTTCCTCTGTAGCAGCAGCAAGACCATCCACCTCATCCTCTAACCTAAATGGGTCATAAATATTTGAAAGCACTGCAACAGCCTTGGCTTTCTCACCCTGAAATGCATGACATATAGATTCCATTAGTCTTTAGCACAACAAACACATACTTAGCGCAAAGCATTTCATCCATGAAGTATGACCTTCAGGTATAGCCAGCGTGGGGACTCCGGTAAAAAGAGCATAGCAATAAACTGTACAATAGCTGGCACGGCTGATACTCCAAGCATCCATCGCCAAGTTCCAGGGACCTGATCAGAATAATACATATCAGATACATTCATGTAAAACTAAAAAGCCAAAAGAAACAGGATGTTGAGATTTCACATGAATTTACGTCGCTTAGGAAACAAGATTTCTTAATGTTAAAGAAGAGGTGGCCAAAGCAGTAGAGCATGCTTTATAAAACATCTATGACACAATGCGCAGATAATTGTTTACCAATGTTATACTTAACTCAATAAAATCAATTAATTAGGATCAAGAACATTTTGATACTATCCACACAAATCATCAAAATGACCCAACACATCCAATTAGCCCTCAGCCCAAGGCAGGTTAAGGGGAGATTGCAAGAATGCAGCCTTACACCTAAATGATGGAGAATTTACTTCCATTAGAGAACTTGTGCAACATCACCATCTATTACTTCACAATAAGTAAGAAAGGCAAACATTTTAATAAGCTATTTTGTTCCAAAGTGTGTTTGCTTCAGTTGGAACTGGCTAAACTTACCAGAAATTTTCTGAACTTTGCAAAACAATTCTGGATAGTTCTGAATTCTGCAGAAAGTTTCTCAAGTTTCTAGTAGTAGTAATAGTAGTTTCAAGTTCATAATAAAATCTAAAATCGTAGAAAACAATATTAATGTTAAAGCTTGTAAAAATATACATGCCTCTTTACAAGCTACAAGCATACAAGGTTTTATTAGTATACAGTATGTGTATAGTAAGAGGAAGTAATAACAAAATAGTAATAAGAAACTATAAAAATTTATAACAACAGTTATAATTCAAAGGAAAATTTAACATATTCATATTAATATCCTTACTACTATAGGTGATCTGACAAATACTTGCATAACTAAGAAACTTAAAATAATATACCCAACTATTAACTTTGTGAACTAAACTGCATTAATTGATATCAAAGGTGGAATCTCTGGTAAAATAACCAATTGTCTCGTTTAAGTCGATAGCCAAAGATGCAAGCTTCAATGTCATTTGATGCATATAGTTGATAGTTGGGTATATTTTTGTGTATTTCTTGACCACAAGTTGGGTAAATCTATGTTTATTATATAAAACAAAACAAGATGTAAGAGAATGCACTTTGAAAATCCATATTATTCTGTCTAATTATGTAGTTACTAAAAGATATACCCTTTGAAGAGAATAATTTTACTAAGAGTTGTAGGTCTATCAAAAAAACTGATAGCCAACAACACGTAGATGATAGAGCAAAGACTTCCAGGGGTCATTAACAGTTGAAAGCTCCATCAGTTGTCCCTGTTCTTGTAAGTTGTAACTACTAAATCATTAGTCATGACAGATATACAGAGTGCGGAATATCTGTCATGACCCCAATACGTCAAGGATCAACAAAGTCATCAATTAGGAGGTAGTATTGGATTAAACCATCAAAAGACACAAATTGTAATGAAAGTCTGATAATAGTCACAAGTCTAGATGGACTAAATCTATGCACGATAAGTATTGGAATTGCAGGCAAAAGAACATAATTTTGAAAGAGTTATGGAACTTTTACTAGCTAGAAGTTAGAAACAGATACAACTGCACCAAGCAACTCAGCAGAAAAGAAGCATCCTGCATCAAAGAAATACATTATGAAAATATAGCGTTAAACTCTAAAGGCAGAAATGAAAAGAGAGCTTCCTACAGTAATGAATCTTATCGCGGAAACATGCCCTCTATTCTATCTTGATGCTGCTTTTTACCCAACTGCTCAGAGGTTCACAGTCTTCACACCAACAAAGTACTTATAAATAAAGAGAAACCTTCTCATACAAATTTGTATGAATTTACTATCAATATATTGAAACTTGCATATATGAATGCCCTTTTACTAAGCACTTTCTTCCATTAAGTTTGAAAAGATGAATCACCAAGCTCAGTCATGATTCATGAATGCAAAATATGGAAAAAATATCTAGTGTAATGTCAGAAAAGGAAGGATTCCAGTCAATCTACTCAAGAATACCCAGTATGTATTTGTTTTAATGAAGGTATCACTACTTTCAGCCAAAAGAATATACAAATTAAGAATGCCAAGGATATTGTTATAGAGAGAACAACTAAAGGCATAACAGCAGAGCAAGATTGACCTGACCTCTGTAAAACCAAGGTTCACGAGGTAGGAAAGAAACTGTCCACCAGTAATCATGAGCACATTTGTACTCACAAGTCCTCCTCTTACTTCAGTAGGGGCTGCTTCTGAAATATAGACAGGAGCAGTAACAGAAGCCACTCCAACACCCAAACCAACTAACAGACGTCCAAATATTAGAACATAAGGATTTGGAGCAGCAGCCATGACAAATGAACCAGCCATGAAGATAACATCAGCTAATAACGTAGCTTTCTTGCGTCCAAAGGTGTCATTTATCCATCCGCCAAAAACAGCTCCAATTATTGCACCTACTTGTGCCATGCTGACAATTGTCTCCTGCCAATACAAGCAATTAGAATTTCGTGAGTATAAAAGCATCAAAATATTAAGCCAACCACTTTCTATAATCCATGGCTGGAAAGTTATCCATAGCTTCATTCTCCAGAGGAACAAAGATACTGAGAAATTCAATCTCTTTTGTGGGACTGAAAAGTTAATGATTGATAAGCAACAGTGCAACACCCCACCCTCCCCCCCCCCCCCACCCAAAACCCCTTTCTCTCCTCTCCCTTCATTTGCACTATATGAAGAAAACAACAGAATAATCCAGTTACCCAACACAAAAGATTGGAAGGAAAAAAGAACTTTTGTTTTGATTCTCAGTCCAACATAGCTTACTGTAGACTGATAAGAACTCGGAAAAGAGGAATAAATACCTAAGTCAAGCCTGGTCAATTATAACTCCACCCCTTCAGTCTATCAGTATTATCTGAGATCAGGTCAGTTATAGGCTTATAGCTAGCAATCTAGTATGACAGCTCATTCTTGTGCAGTTGTGCTTGGGTGTGAATCCCATATCATATTTGTAGCTATTGCAATTCTACAAGGGCGAGGGAATGCATACAGTTTAACCATTATACCACCCACAGTACAAAATAGAGCACCAGGCTTCATATAAACTACCTTTTTAAACTATTACTCAGACAACTTACAAAGAAACATAAAAAGCATGACACGTTTAGCTGCCAAGAAAAATAAGCTCTTTATTCCATAAGTTACCACTTTAGCATAACTAAATTGCAAAGTAAATCCACAGTAGCTAATACCTGCAAGAAACTGCTGTTTTTGACTTCTTCAAAATCATCCTTGATGTACAAAAGTGCCCCTGATATAACACCTGCAATTCGAGATCTTTTAAGAACATATGACTACCGAAAAGAAAATGAAGACAAAAATCATCATGAATAATGATCGTAAAATTACTAGGAAAATATGCCTACAAACTACTAAAAATATGAGCGTAGTTCCGATAATTGAAACTTGGAAAAATCTTCTTTACATTATAACCACCACTCAAACTACAAAATCAAGAATAAACCTACATATGAATTGTTTTGAAAATTATATTTTTACATGGACTGGAACTTCAGATTAACTATAGGAGTGTGGTTCCACAAAAACACTAGTAAGAAACAGCTTATGTACAAGTATTAAAGAAAGGCCAAAGCAGCAAATAAGATAAGAATTACATACGGATCCAAAACTTCACTAATATTCACTTTCGGAGACATTTCATCATCAAAAACATTAGGATGTCCATTAAGCACCCTCACATTATTAAACTCACATGCTATGCTGCCTATGCACATGAGAATGTGAGATATAACACCCGAGTGTATACTAAATTACGTCAAAAAATGCCCACTAAGGATTCTGCATTTCAGCCACTTAGAGATTAGGTCCCTTTGAGATTCAACCCCAAGACCTGGAAATACTAATTAAATGCATGGTTGTCATGTTTTCTCACTTTCGCATTTTGGCTGTTTTCTTGTTTTCATACTGATCATACATCTGTATTTGTTCATAATGCATTCAGTAAATTCAAGCAAACTTTGTTTCCTAAGTAGAATCAAGCTAAATTAGAGCTAAAATTAGAAAATTCACTTTCAGAATCTTAATTTAGGACCTAAATTAGAATTAAAATCACCATAAATTGAGAAATTAGAACTAATTACAAAATTACAATCAATTGAGGAATTAAAACTAATTACAAAATTACAATAAATTGAGAAATTTAGGTGAGCAAAATAGAAGAAATACCTGTATCATATCCAAAGAGCAAACCACCAATTCCAGCAACAACTGTCAAACCCAACACATATTTATTACTAAAATATGTAAATCTTCTTTCAGGAAATGATTGCAAATACCCAGAACTCCCAGGTATAGAATCCAACATCTGTACTAAATTCTTACAGAAAAAGACCCAATTTTGGCCAACTTTTATTCACAAAATCGAACCAAATTTAGAAACCCAGAATCAAAAATCAATGTAAGAAGAAAAATTCCAAATTTTGGGACTACCCAGATGTTGAATTGGGGTTAATTGATCAATGTATGAAAAAGATAACATAAAGAAAGGTAATTTGAAGAACCCAGAAAATGTTTTGGATGTAATATGAAATTAAACAACGTTTCTGGAACATATGGGAGTTGGAATGAAGGAAGAAAACAGAAGCAGTAAAACTGCCAGCTCAAGATCATTGCCAACTCAATATGGGGATATGATCTTTTTAGTTGAATTTTCAAGACATCAGTCCACCTCACTAATCCTATTTACTTCCATTTTAAACGTTGAAGTTGTGCACCAAACAACTAAAAAAGTTAAAAGATTTTCCTAGTTGTTTGGACCAAGTCCATTGTCCTAAGCCCGATGACCTGAAAGGATGAAAATATCCCGCCATAATCCAGCCCATCATTCATCATTGCAAACTACAGATTTACCACTAATCTGTCCAATTAAGTACAGTTTTGCCACCTGAAAGTACAACTATAAATAACTCATCATTCATTAATGATGGAGAATCTCTCCTAATTCTTTCTCCTTCTCTCTCCCCTTTCTCTCTCTAAGTACACTCTCTACTTTCTCTATCTAGAAAGGACATTTGTTGACTTAAGCATCGGAGGGGCTTTCCCGGGTCACACCCTCGGGGCAGCTAACCTTCTCTGTTTTGCAGGCCTAGCTCTCAAGTGTCAAGGCGGAGCCCTTGGACGTACCTTAGCAAGACAGAGCTCTCAAACCTTTGGACAATAATTGGACTTACATTCTAGGACATCTTGATACCTTACCCTAACACGCTTAGGAGAAGTCTGTTTTCAGAATCAGGAGAAGCTTAGCCCTCATACAATAACTTAGGGCTCGTTAAGCCCTCAACCTATCCCAAGAGTCGGGATAAGCCTAGCCCTCATACAATAACCTAAGGGTCGTTAAGCCCTCAGCCTATCCCAAGAATCAGGATAGCCTAGCTCTCGTCCATCTATAACTCAGGGCTTGTTTAACCCGTAGCCTATCCCAAGAATCGGGATAGCCTAGCTTTCGTCCATCTATAACTCGGGGCTCGTCTAGCCCGCATCCTATCCGAAGGAATGGGATGGCATAGCCTTATACATCAATAACTTGGGGCTCGTTTAGCACTCAGCCTATCCCAAGAGTTGGGATAGCCCAACTCTCATACAACTTCTAGCTTGGGGCACGTTTTGGCCCTAGTCTATCCTTACAGTCGGATAGCCTAAGTATCAGATATCTATAACTCGGGGCTCGTTTAGCCTCTCGGCCTGCATAAAAAGGCAAGATAACCAAGCTCTCATTCGCATATGACAAAAGTCTCCGTAAAAAAATAAATAAATAAATAAACAAACAAACTAAAATAGCACCTCTTTCATGAATCAATAACATGGGGCTCGTTTAGCTCTTATCCTACTCCAAAAAATAACGGAATGACATATTGAGGTTTTTTCCAAATACTTGGGGCTTTTTGGCCTCTGAAGCTCAGCAATTCATGAAGAAGCACCAAACAAAATGCAAGCACTTAGCCAAAGAAAGTTGAGGGAAAGAACATGTAATTTTATTGCATGTAAAGAGCTAAGTCAAGAGTTAGATTGTTCATCAAATCAAAGATAAAGTGCTACAAGCTTAAATACATCAAGATAAGACAAGCAAATCAAAGTACAAAGAGCCGAGCCGGGGTAACTACTCATCAGGCTGGTCATGCTAACCCTGCTCATCCAAAACCTTCCTCTGTGCCTCAGCCTCGGCCTCTGCAATAAGAGCATCTATCTTATCCCGCACTGCAGGATAAGCTTCTATAACCCCAACGATGCATGTTGTCTCCAGGTGGCCCTTAGTGTCAGCAACGCCGGCCTCGAAGGCCTCATATCCCAGGCTGGCCTTAAATTCCTCAAAGGTCGGGGACTCCTTCCATGCAGCAATCACCTCCTCCTGAGTCTGCCCCTTGGGCTTGGGTGAGGCTGCTTACTTTCTCCTGAGCCTCAGCCAACTCTTTTTTCACTCTCGCCAGCTCATTCTTCTTCTTCCTAAGCTCCTCAGAGGCCTTGTCTTTCTCCTTGGTGGCAGCGTCAACATTATCCTCAAGGGTCCTGATCCGAGCACCCCCAGCCTCGTAGGCATCATCAAGAGCTTTCCTGGCTTTACCCAACTCCTCCTTGGCCAAGCGCAAGTCTTCCTTCAGCTGATGAATCTCATTTCGGGCCTCCGTAAGCTCGGTCTGAAGCTCCTCTACATCCTGCTGGGCGCTCCTCCGATATTGCTCAGCCAGAACCGTCATAGTCACTCCGGCCTACATCAAAGACAAACAGTTAATAAACACAAATATTCAAAAAGGAAGGAAAGGAATCACAATATATAAAAGGTACCTTCAAGTAACTATCAAAAGCAGTAACGAGGGCCTTCTCTGGGTTCTTCCTAACTTCCATCTCATCATCCAAAGTAGCGAAGAGAGACATGAACTCCTCCACCATGGGTATGCGACCTACCTGAGTCAAAGTTAAGAAAGACCCAGGGAATAAAGGCACGAAGCCCTCACCATCATCCCTCTCTTCACCCTCATCTCCGCCTCCGCCTTCAACATGAGGACGCTTCCCCTTAGGCTTGCTTCCCCCAGCTTCATAACTTTGACGCATTGGGAGATCGTAGGGGAAGCTTGGAGGGATCTCTGATCCTCCACCTCGACAGTCGTGGCTTGGGAAGATCCTTCGACCCTCTAAGCCGGCTTTTTCATGGTCTTCGGGTTCAGAAAAGGAAAAACACAAATCGAGTAAGCTATCAAGAAAAACGAACAATCGGTTAGGAAAATTAACTCTATGTAAAAATAGGGTGCATACCGGGGGAGGAGGTGGAGCGCATATTTCTCCCTTACTCAATGAAACTCTGATCTTCCCAGCTCGATAGTTCGCAGCGATTATCTTCCTTTGAAGCTTGTCTTTCAACTGACTGTATGCAACACCTGCAAACAAGCATGTTAGTCATGAAACGCGGGGAGGAATACATAAAGTGTTATAAATTTTAAGTAAACAAAAACAAGTCCTACCCCTATCATAAGCGTGGCTCAAGCCCACGACACTCAGAAAACGCTCCTTCTTGAAATGTCTATCCTTCAAAATCCACATGGTCGGACGCTTCTCTTTTGATCCTTTCTCCTTAAAGGATTGCAGCCAACTAGCTCCTACGACTTCATCAACGCTCATAGCAGGGACATTGTAATTCAAACCAATCCTAGGTAGGCCGCCATGGTCTCGGGGTATTCTCCAACCCCCCGCATGGAAAATAAAGAGAAAGGCATGGCGGTAACCCTTTTGGCTAGAAGGCTTTGTGTGTATGGTAAGGTAGAACTCTTTATCGTGAAAAGCATACCACCCGTGTCTATCAGCATTACCCGGGATTTCTTAAAGCCTATGGGTGTTTCTAAAGGCAGTTATGGGACAAGGTACGCCGAGTATACTACAAATTTCTATAAAAGCGTTTATTGTCAACCAAGAGTTGGGAACAAGCTAGGTAATGCACAAGTTATACTCAATTAACAACTCCTCAACAAATGGATGCAAAAGAAACCTCAACCCATTATCCAAGAAATCCTTATATACAACTATACACCCGAGCAATGAGGAAATGAGGAAAGGTTCCTTAATACTATATTGGATTTGCAAATGCCTAGTCCCTTCCGACAATGATCTAAGCCAAGCGGCGGAGGCGGCGGAGGGGGAGCACATAGAGGGACTAATCCTCCTAACAGGAGGCTTAAAGGAAACTGGTACCACAAGAGAAGAAGTGGATGTATCATCCTCACTTGACATAGCCCCCACACCGTCAACAAGAAATCGGTTCAAACAACCCCTAGCAGTCGGTTCACGTGCAAGAGATACTTCCCGAAAGGAGAGAGGCAAATAATAATCAAAGCCTAAATCATGCTCAGGGGGAGGGGATGGCATGTAAGAAGGTTGCACAAGGGAATCGACATATCAACACTACTACCAATCACATTTGTTACAAGCCTCCCACCCGACCAGATTTCCTTTGATAAGTCATAAGACATATGGTCGGGGAGAGAATCCGGATAATCTTGAGTCACTTGGTCGTTCATAACACATGCATAGCTCAACTCAAGATTACTCAAAGGATGTTCTAATGTACATACAAAGACATAACAGGCGTACCTCTAAGCCTAACATCATTAATAGCGCAGCCGAGGAACATTCAAGTATATAAGTAAAAATAGTAAATAATTACTAAACATGAAGATACGATACTTAGAGTTAAAAAAAACTAAGTATTAGATGCTCACTAAGTGGTCAGAGAGGCTGGAAGGTTTTCTTGCAGCAAGTCGAGTACACCCCGGGGTGAAAAACTCCTACAACATCAACAAAATTCAAAGTGTTAGAAAAATTTCAAAGGATAAGCCTAGTGGAGATAAACGTTTCATAATATAACTCTCATACAAGCCAAGCTCTCATCCTTTCATAACAACCTTAATTAAAATAAAAGCTAATAAAGCTTCATTAAGAATATCAAAGAATCAAGACCTCGACCCTCATGATCAAATCTTTTCAGCTCACACACTCTCTCACCTGCCTTGAGCACTCGGCAAGGTGGTTAAAGGCCCCGTCAGTTGTTTACTAAGGTGGGGTCCTTAGTATGTTTTGATCAAATAAAGCCCAACTATCGGCTTTCAATATGCCAAAGAAAAGATAAATTTGAATAAGCCAAGCTCAAGCCTGCAGCAACCCGGGCCCTCGGCATGTTCTTTGGGGGCGCCTCACAAACCCCTGGCCATCGGATCTATATAGCTAAAGTCTTCCGCATAGCTCTCGTGCTCTCTTTCTCTTTTACCCCAAGCTTTCGGAAAAATGGGCCAAGATAAGAAAAGCTTAACATTCTCAGCTACATAAATAAAAATGTAATTGACTGAGGCAGATCTGAGGGCTGGGCCCATTCTCCTAACAAAGTAACTCCTCGACCCATTGGATCAAGAATAAGCCTTCGGCATAACCAAGAGAAAGCAGCAACCAGCGGGGTCTTCACCAAATCGCTAGGCCCTCAAAATGGCATGCCTGACTCTTGGTGTGTTTACCCTATACCTAACTCTCAGTGGGCCTAACTCTTGTCCCAACAAGCTACTCCACAAGCGCTCATATTTCAAGGAAGAGTCGAGCGCTTAGCTTGTCCTCCCTCTCGGCCTGCTAAGCTAGGCCCTCGGCATCTGCTACAAGCTGAGCGCCTAGCAGCACTCGGCGGCCCCGCTAGCTAATCGCACGAGGCCTAACGCTCGGCAAGCTCAAGCACACATATTTCAAGAAAGAGCCGAGCGCTCAGCACCTTATCTTGCGGCCATGTTCTCGACATAACAGGCGAGCGCTTAGCCCGGATATGCTATCCCCTTAGCATAAATGACGGACTTTCGGCCAGCTATCCTTCGGCCAAGCCACTCTACCCCCTCGGCAGCTCACGACACTCTTGCCCTCAGTATAGCGCGGCTCACAAGCCTTACCGCGTGCAAAGCCCTCGGCAAGCCTGATGCTTGACTTTTGGACTATGTGCCTGGCTTTTGGACGCTCCCATCATTATCCACAAACCGGGCCCTCTGCAATTTGGCCACTCAGGTCCTTGACATCAAGCGACCCCTCAGCCGACATATGACCCCCTTAGCTTGGGGTGGCAAGCCCTCGGCCTGTCATGCTCTCGGCATTCAGCATTTCAAAAAAAAAAAAAAGGAGAAGAAGAAGATAAGAGTGTTCAAAATCCGAGAGCTGGGCCTCACCCTTGACAATCTTGATTATCTCTCGACTCCCAGCTCGACACATTGTGTTTTAAAAGCCCAAGAGGCTGAGCACTTGGATTTTATCCCTCAACCTCACCCTAGGCTCTCGGCTATTGTCTCCCTCTCTCATTGATGCGCTTTCGGCCTCACAAACAAAACTCCCTCAGCCCGGGGTAGCAATGCCCTCAGCATTCCTCATACCGAGCACTAAACTAATTTGACAAAGCTCTCGATAATCTCTCCCCAGGCTCTCGGCAACCTTGGGACTCGTGGCATCCATCCCACATTAAAGCCCTTGGCAAGGCACCTAGCAGGCCCAGGCGCTCAGCATATGGTGCCAGCTCGCGCCAGACTAACCCCTCGGCACCAGCTGGCCTCGCTGCACTTTTCCCTCAGCCTACATGAAAATAATTTGCACCCCGCTCAGCCTAGCTAAGGCTCTCAATCTCTCATCCCGATATCTCTCCTCCTACCCTCGGCTAAGCACATCAAATCAAAGCAAACATATGGCATACTCGAAGCAAGTTCATGAACTAAGTTACTTCCCTCGGTTAAGCCTAAACTAGAATTCGGCCTAGTTATGCTCACACAAACATTTGAAATTCCAAATTCAAACATTCAAATTCAAAAGTACAAAAACACAATCCAAGCTTTCGGATCTACAAAAACGAATCAAAAGTTAGAAATTTTCACATACCTCTTGAAGATCTTGATGAACTTTGATGAATCCAAGTGATGTGACTTGAACACTCAAACTCTCAAGATTTTGGGGAGAATTAGAGAGGGGGATTTTGTGAATTTCTCTAAGGAAATGAAAGAATGTGAAGCAAATGAAAGTGAAGTGGGAATTCATATAGTGAAAGGAGAGAAGTGATCTCCTCAAAACCCTTGCTCAGGTGGGCTTCAGTTATACTTGAGCCCAGAATGTCACAAATGGAAGATTAAGCATAATTACCAGCTAATTAGCGTTCAATTGTCATCAATTCATTCTTAAATACAAATCTTAGCCAAAGATCAAGGCAATTCATGCCTTCAGCTGTATACAGAGGCTCTACCCTCAGAAGATTATTTGGAAAAAGACAAGCTCTCAACTATGTGCAAGCCGTCATTCATTGTCAATAATAATTTCTCAAAATAGCTCAAACACCTATTAAGCATTGCTTGGGGCTAGTTTTCACCCTAGCAAGTCGCTTGGGGCTCGCTTTAGCCCACGGGTACGCCTAAAAAGCTATTCTGCACACATGACAACTTCTCAGCCTCAATTTCATTCATTCCGCGTGACATCTGAACTTCATGCGATCTTGTTCACATGTCATGCGTGGGGCTAAATGTTTGGGCCAAGTCCATTGTCCTAAGCCTAATGACCTAAAATGAAGAAAATACCCCTCCATAATCCAGTCCATCATTCATCATTGCAAAGTACAGATTTACCCCTAATCTGTCCAACTAAGTACAGCTTCGCCACCTGAAAGTACAACTATAAATAGCTCATCATTCATTAATGATGGGGAACTTTTTCCTAATTCTCTCTCTACTTTCTCTTTCTATGTACACACACTCTCTCTACTTTCTCTCTCTAGAAAGTACATTCACTGACTTAAACATCGGAGGGGCTTTCCCAGGTCACACCCCCGGGGCAGCTAACCTTCTCTGTTTTGCAGGCCTAGCTTTCAGGTGTCAAGGCGGAGCCCTTGGACCTACCTTAGCAAGGCGGAGCTCTCAGACCTTTGGACAATAATTGGACTTAGATTCTAGGACATCTTGATACCTTATCCTAACACGCTTAGGAGGAGTCTGTTTCCAGAAACAATAGTGTTGGAAAAAAAAACAATTTGGGGCTTACCTGAAACTTATTTTGTTGTATGGTATCTACGCAGACTCAAAAATTCAAATTATAATTTTTTTTATGGTGCGAAAGAGTCACAAGAGCATTACAAAGTACAAAAAGGAGAGGGAGATTCGAACCTACAACCTATCGTACACATGTGTCAAGTCTTTGTCATTAGGCCAAGATCTCATCGATTATTTTTTTTTAATTTTTATGAGAACCTCACAGTTACTTTTTAACTTAGGCATTGTTCACATAATAATTTGCATTAACTTCATTTCGTGATTTATACTTTAGAAAAATACATGCAAGGTCATGTTAGATTAGTATAAATATGTTGTAGATTTTTTTGAGTATAACATTTTATAATTTTGGTCTATCAAAATTTGAAGATATTAATGTTTAAAACCACAAACTCCGTTGATAAACGTTTACAAAGAAGCATGTCAATTAATATGAAATAGGAGAATTATAATTGAAGTTGCAACAATTGCTTTAGGATCCGTTCACTTCACCTTATTTTTGTTGAATTAAAATTATTTTTGCTGAACTTGACTGAAATTATTTTTACTGATTCTCTATTATATTTCTTCTTTAGAGTTCGTGGTTTTACTGAATTGAATTTTTTTTTTTTTTTTTGAACTGAAATTAATTTTACCAAACTGAACTTATTTTAACTGAACTAAAATTATTTTTACTGAATATTATTTTGTTTAAGGTAAATTGAATAGGGCCTTAGTCAATAAAATTTTTATGTCTAGCAGGTGGGACATAAATAACACAATAATACTTCATCCTTATTTAGTTGCAAATCCTTGTAATAAAGAGTAAATAAAAAAACCCAGATAGTAGATGTCAACTACTGTAGTTGGTTAAAGTTTTCAAGGCAATATCCAAAACCTGAAATCGAATTTCTATTATATTAGGTTCTTTGCAGCTTTCTTTACCCAAAGAAAATCAGGGGATTGAAACTTGTTAGAAACCTGCAATTTCGAAAGTAGCACAAGTTTCGATTTTGAGAAATAAAATTGAGAACTCTTTACATTAGGTTTTCAAATTTTCGGAATCATAACCTTTTGGGTAATGGGTATCCTGTGAGCACTAATTTCAATTCCAATAGCGATACATACAAAGAATAATCTTTATAATCAATTATAAATTTACAATCAACCAACTAAAAAAACAACGCATTTATTTGTCGCTAAACAAATAACAATTGCCTAAAGGGTAGAGAGCAACGAGAATTAATCCTTGCCTGCTGGCAAGAGGGATACATGGCCAAACCATATTCCTAATTCACAACCAATTTGTAGCATAGATACAACAACAAATAACCTATTTCTACTCCTACCACAAAATAATTTATTCATATACTACTAATAATTTACATAGCTCTTCAAATGGCATAGAAGCCTCCTAACAAGAGCAATAACTTGCAATCCACCAACTCAGGATCCCAAGAAACTAAGCAAACATATCCAACCACCTTGAGTCTGATAAGAATGCTTCTTTCAGCAAAATAGAATAGACAAACTGTCGAACAACATACGTTAATTTTAGGCTTGCCGATTTTCGAACCCATTCCCAGGTTCAAGAAGGCTCTGAGAATTTTCCCTACTTCCATAAGCCCTCTCCTTAAATAACTGATCCACCTCCTCAAAAGTCAAGGCTCTGGTCTCAGGAACAAAGGCACAGACAAACAGAAATGCGAACACAACAATGCCAGCTATTATCAAGAATGTACCACCTGTTCCAATAGCATCAGCAATGGAAAGAAATGACTCAGAAACAATAAGGTTTGTAATCCAGCATACAGTGGCTCCCATCCCACCACATAAACCTCGGTATGCTTGGGGATAAATCTCAGAGTTGATGGCCCATGGTACAGGCCCCATTCCTGGGGCAAAGAAGGCAATGTAGAGGGCAAGTCCTATGACAGCAAGCCATGAGTAGATAGACCCTGCGGTGTCAGATGAGCTGAGGAGGAGAGAGATGGAGAGGAGGATGAGAGAAACGAAAACACCTGCAAGGCTTGAGAGGGCCAATGAACGCCTGCCCATATGGTCGATCAAGTATATACCCAAGACTGTTCCAGCAGCATTCATGGCAGCAACAATAAGAGATATTAGGAGGGCTAACTGATTGGAGCTAAACCCGGCCATTTGGACAATAGTAGGACTGTAATACATGACAGTATTAATTCCTGAAAACTGCTGAAATGCCTGCACATAAAGTTCGTTGAAAAATTGATTCAGCAAAGCACAAGGGCTTTTAAAAGATATCGGAAAATGCTGGCTTGCTGCTAAAAACCAGCTGAACATGGGAAAAGGAGGCAGAGCTAATGATCTCTAACAGGCTTTATGAAACTCAGGCTGCTCTTAATTGTACCACGATAGGTAAATTCTCATGATAAGACACTTGGACACTTAAAACCTTCAAGAGAAAATTACCTGACCATTGTAAGATGGAAACCCGCATTCAGTCCAAACCTTGTTCTCAAGTCCAACATATAGTATTCCATAGTATATTGCAACCAAAGTTCCAAGAAGGATGTTCACTATGATTTTTCAGATTGAGTTGAGTATCCATCTCTATCTCCTATTCTAATTACAAATTTACGCCCTTAATCAACATTGCATACAATACTGAGCCCTTCAAAGTCATAAGTATTAAAATCCATAATCGAATCAAGACATTATTTCAAACTAATAAGTCCAAATCTAAGGGAACCATAGCTATTATTCAAACTGTAAAGAACTACAAGGTATCATATGTACTCCATATACGTTATAATGTATCTTGGGTTGACTGAAAAAATTTAAAAAGAAAAAAAATGGCAATTATATATTCTTACAATGACTTTTAATTGATGTCATGATAAAAATAAAAAAACAAAATAGAAGGGACAACTTCAACACAATAATAGAGTAACTCTCAATCAATCATGGCCTCATGGAGTAGTTTACAGTTCTTTTACAATACAGCTGTCTTACTCTAAAATCTGTGTAGAAATGCAACTTACAGTATGTGTATTTTAGCAAGTTGATATATCTAGAACATTTTTGAAATCATCCTTTGTTAGAATGCAGAGAGTACATATAAAGATGTAAAGTAGTTTTAATTAACACACACAATAGCAGCACAAGTGCTACCATCAAATTCTACATTTCACATAGCAAGGGCAAAATCAGTTAATCACTAACAAGAGCCACAAGAACAAGTAATGCACAATGGAAGCAACATGCTTCAACAGTTGAATATGAACTTACCAGAAGCCCACCACCAGCAAGAAATGCAAGCCGAATTTCTTTAATTCTGAACACATCCATAATACTGACAATTTTTTGTTTGCGCTCCTCCTCAGCAGCAACAGCAAGCAGATCAAGCTCATCTTCCAGCCTAAATGGGTCATAAATCTTTGAGAGAACCTCAGCGGCCTGCTCCCTATCTTTCTGCAAAATAGCAAATATTGATCCCCACTAAAGGTTTATCAAAGTTATTAAAGCAAGAATAGCTATAGATGATTTGAATAGGCTTCTGACCTTCATATATAGCCAGCGGGGGGATTCTGGCAAAAGAAGCATAAAGAGGAACTGCAAGACAGCAGGGACACCCGATACTCCAAGCATCCAACGCCAAGTTCCAGGCACCTGCTCAACAAACACACATCAAAATAAATCCGTGGAAAATATTCCTACACTGCCATTAATCCATTATATATTAAAAAAATAAAATAAAATAAAATTTGAAACCTTGAGTCCAAGCTCCAACACAACACATTTTCAACAATAAAGACTTGACACCAAATGAACTTAAGCTGCATTATATCAGACAGATTTTATAATTTACCTTGGTGCTCAACTATCCGAAAGAATATCAGTCAGAGTCATTTATATAGAAAAATATTTATCTAAGGAATTTGTGAAATTTTTTAAGCATGCAGATCATCAGCCACATCCAAGAAAACATTTACAAATCTAGTTAAGTAAAAGCAAATCTTGATAAACACAGTACATTACATCAAAATTAGGCAGAAAGAGAAAGGAGTTTCCATAGCTGATGTTTCTCAATCTGTAAAACATGAAATGCAGGGCTCCATTTCTCTCAAATGCTGCCATTGTCCAAACTGCATAACCAGAAATTTTTCTTTCCGTGAAAGCACTCCAAATAAACATATAAAATGAAATTTAGGATTCTGAAAGTAGATCCTTTGGCACATGAAGCATATAAAGAAAAAGACGGGTAAAGTCTATCTGACCTGAGTAAAGGCAAGATTAACACAGTAGGAAAGGAACTGTCCGAAAGTAATCATTAGCACGTTAGTGCTGACAAGTCCTCCTCGTAGTTCTGTAGGTGAAGCTTCTGCAATATATACCGGAGCACACACTGATGCCAACCCAACACCCAATCCAACTAAGAACCGTCCAACAATGAGAACATATGGATCAGGAGCAACACCCATGACAATGGCGCCAGCAGCAAAGACGAAATCAGCAAGAAGAGTTGCTTTTTTACGTCCATAAACATCATTGAACCATCCACCACCAGCAGATCCAATCATTGCACCAACCAATGCCATGCTAACAATTGTTTCCTATCAAGGGGGACAAGGTGAGATTAGAACATGAACTTAAATCTGAACACTGTATCTCCTGCTGCATTTTTACACTGTATCTATCAAGATGCACAACTGTTAGCAGAATCAATGTAGAGCCCCAGAAGGGTCGCAGGATTGTAGCCCCAATACAACAAAATAGCAAGGTTATTTTCAAAATGCAGTTATTTATTTTTTTAGATATTTTAGATTAAAGAGGACATGTAACAGTTTAATATTTCCATCCTTTATTATTCCAAAAATAAACACGGTTCATGATCATTGTACCTGCAAGAAACTGCTTTCTTTGACCTCTTGGAAATCATCTTTTATGTAGAGGAGAGCACCTGATATCACACCTGCATTATAGAAAAGTTTGCATTACATTAACTTAATTGAAGAGCAGAGCTACTGTCTCTGAAGTCTGAATGCTGTGTAATTTCACCAGAGAGAGAGAGAGAGAGAGAGAGAGAGGGAGAGAGAGAGAAGAGCAAAAGATCAACAGCCAACAGTAATTGTAAGGATACAATGGATTTTCTGTAAGACTGTAAGTCATCAATACTTAAATAGTTCAAGAATCGGCAATGAAGCATCACCCTTTTTTCTAGTCATTTTTTTTCTATTGATGGGATGAAGTATGACCAGAAGACAACTGTTAGATCATAGCTTACAATATTCAAACCATATATTGAACTTCAAAGTAGAATCAAATGACATTCTAGTCCATAGAGCTAGTATTTCGGTGTCAGAATCATTTGAAATACTGCTTCAACAAGCAATATTCTAAATGCTGAACCTGCCACCCAAGTACTACTCTTCAGCCCCAACTCCCAACTCCCAAGCTCAAAGATATTGCAATAGCATAGCCAAAGTAAGACCAAAAGCAATATTCATGGACCTACTCTTAGGTCACCTATGTAAGCTACCCCATCTCATCTATTGGACATGGGTAGTTAATACACAACGTTTTACAAACTTTGACTAGCTTGCAATGCATATCTTCCTATAGTCCAACCAGCATATATAGTCTACCATAGATAAATTTGATATTTCTATGACAGACAATGCTTTGCCAATGTACTATGGCATTTCCGTTCAGAAAAAAAAAAATGTACTATGGCATTCACAAACTTTCAACATTACACACCTCAGGGTCACAATATTCATGAAATTAATGAATTATACACTAGCTACAATACGCCACTTATCATGCTCCAATTACGACAAACATAAACAACACCAAGATTAACAAATAAAAAGAACTTCAATTTTTTGTGGGCAGAATCCTATGTTTTTTGATATCGAGTTATTAGAGTGCAAAATGACCATTTATCCAATTAGCATCGAAATTCATCCAAGTAACTCAAGGCAGCCATGTAGGCTCTATCCAGTATACAGGCTAAGCAGTTGCAACAACATCCTAATCAAACATGTCTACAACGATCCACCACTTTAAATACTAGTATTTTAATTGCACCAACACATGTAACATACTAAGAGCAACTTCAATGGTAAGCTAATTGTCAATGCCACATAAGGTTTTAAGTAATTATCAGTTGAGCTCCAATGGCTAGCTATTAGATTACTAATTAAATGAACCACATCTCCTTAATTTACGTTTTAAAATTTTATTTTATTTATTCTAATTTGTTTTATTTTAGCAAGTTTTAAAAAAAATCGAAATTAGGGTTTAATAAAGGGAAAAGAGGAGAAAATGGATTTTAAGTGGTCACGTGAAAGGTAAGTTACTTTTTTTTGTTCGGAAAAAAAAAATTAATGGCCGGAATCTGGTCAAAGGACCCTCGCCACAACCTAAGTGCAATAAAAGAACCTTTTATGCCACCTTTTTTATAAAATGACCTTTACAACAAAAAAAAAACCTATTTAAAAGGACCTTTCTAACAAATTTTCCTAAATAATATTGTTCACCATCAATCATGCTTTCAGGTGATCCTGGCCGGTATACAAATATTAAATTACATTAAAAACAAGCAGCAAATGACATAAGTGGTAAGATTATGTCATGGCACATTGGCACTTAGTTGCAAAATAATACTTTAGTATGAATAATGCAAAAAGTCAAAATGGATCATCTAAAAAAACAGAGAATTCGAGTATATTACACCGAAAACGGATTAAGTGGTTGTTAGTTGCTAATCCAACACCATAGAAAATTCTTGTTAATTGTCTTTTCCTCACATTGAAATTTATCCATGTATAAAAAAAAAATTTAATTTTTTTAATTATATCTGACCTTTAAATATTAATTTTTTTAAAAAAAATAAAAAATCATACGTAGTATTTTTTTAATTAATATGCAGTCTAGGCTTGGAAAACATCTTGAGTTTCAGGTTTTCAGCCAAATACTTCTAATTTAAGCTTAATTAATACCGATCACAACTGATTTTTTTTTTTTTTTTTTTTCATGATTCAATTTGCTATATATTGTTTATATTCAAATTTTCTCTAACATGTCATGGCTTTTTGTTGATGAATTTATTACGGAGTAATGGAGTATTTTATAAGTTAAAATTTTAGTCCAATTCTATCTTTAATGTAATAAACCATTTTTCATGATTTTTTTTTTTTTACTAAAGAACAAATTCCATGACTTTATCCAACACTTCCTCAAAATTAGTAAAAAAAAAATATCACTTAATTTACAAAAAATTATACTCATCTAATTTATTTATTTTTTTAAAAAAAAATAGACTACTAATCCATTAATACAGATTATTTTAGCTTAATTAGGGCATTATTGTATACCTGTATCATAACCAAAGAGTAATCCAGCAATCCCAGCAGTAAGAATTAAAGCCAACACATATTTATTACCAAAATATGATATTCTTCTCTCTGGAAATGAATCTAAGTATCCTGAACTCCCAGGAATTGAATCTAGCGCCATTTTTTACCAATTTTTTCAAATTTTAAATCTAAAAAACCCAAATAATTATCAAATAATTCAAACCCAGAAAAAATTCTACAAATAAAAGGGATTTTAACAAAATTTACACTAAAAAAACATTGATTTTGAAAATAGCCCAGAAAATTGAGTGAGACTGTAAGACTAGGAATATTTAAACCCCAAAAAAATAAATTAATTTAAATTGATTTAAGAAGAAATTGAGTGAGGCGTGAGGTTATAGCTTACTGTGAAAGATGAATGTTGAACGTTGATGGGAGGACAAGTGTGAGGGAGAGAGAGGCCGTGTTGTTGTAACTGAAACAAAATGTGATGCATGTGTTGCCTTTTTATTAAATCTACCAAGTACATTAACTTTGTACAATTGTACGAGTACATTTGAAATTCATCAAAACAATATGAAGGGATCTATAATTTAGATTTTTCCTTCGTGAGGACTGAGGAGGAGGGCTTTTTAATTATTATTTTTCTCATCTTTTTCAAAAATAATACTCCAACCTCTGTAATCTGGACTATTAATGCAATTGATCTCATCGAGTTGTGATTATGCAAATTGGGTGGCGATTTCGGATGGATATTACTGTGAAAATTACTTGGTTGCGTATTTGATGTGTATGATATGTTAATCTTGGGAGATTTCTAGTATACAAATTACTCTTAACTTTTTATTTTAACTTTTCTCGACTTATATAAACTTAGGATATGTTCTATTCACCTTATTTTCACTTATTTTAAGTCTAATAAATTCAGATAAGTCCAGTTCAGAAAAATAAGTTCTGGTAAGGGTTATCCAGGTTTAGATTACAACTAAAATAAGTTTTAATAAGTTCTGATAAGTTCAAACTCAGACCCAATGACCCGACCCGAAGGACCCGACCCATGACCCGAAATCAACCCAAAAACATCAACTCGAAATTGACCCGAATCCGAAATCAACTCGACCCATACCTGACCTGAAAATGGAGTAGATCCGATCTGACCCGACCTGAAATTGACTCAAATCATACCCAAAACCCGAATTGGCCCGACCCGAATGTTAGCTGACCCAAAATAACCCGACCCGAAAATGACCCAAGCCAAACCCGACCCGAATGACCCATTTGCCAGATCTACTGTACTCTATTATCCTCAATTACATATACTTTTTCGTGATATAAATAATTATATGATGTATCATTATTATGATAGTAAATGTATGTTGCCATGTTGCGAGTCAAAACAAAGGATACAAAATTAGTAACACAATGTCACAATTTACATTACTATTATTTTTAATTAATAAGATAAAAAAGTAAAATTAAGGTGTGAAACTTAGAAGTAGACCAAGTAATTGTATTTGGACAGTTGCCATTGTTGTCGAGAATTTACAACTTTGTGCCAATTCATCTCAAATGAAAAGTGACATTTTCTTCCACAACAAATTGTATAATGACACGAGTCATGAAATAAGGTGCAACCCATGAACTTGTGGGGATTGCATTCACATGGTTTTCAAGACCTTGAATCATCATTTTATGACAATTTGCGTACATTTTCTGTTGTTTGGGTGCAACGTCATTAATTTACAAAACGACGAGTATCAATAGCATCTCTTGTTTGATGAGACTCGAATTTAAAAGGTTTGCTATTGGACGAGAAAATAAGTAATCCTTCATTTGTTACCTATTTTATACAAGTACATGTTGATCGCATGTCATAAATCACAATATTTGCATCATAATATACCAACCTACTTATACTTATATACTAGCTAGGAATTGACGTAAGTTATAGACTAGGGAGATAAGCAGGAGATAGTGTAAGAATGAAGAGGCATAAGAGCAACTCTAATGGCAAGCTAATTTTCAAATTAGCTTGTCATGCCACCTATGATTACAAAGTTATTATTCTTTCTTCTAGCTAATTTATACCATATGGTTAAGCTAATTGTCATTTAATTTTTTAAATAATTAATATTTAATTAGAAATAATTAGTTTCTAAGCTAATTAGCTTAGCCAAACTAATAATTTGCTTATCCAAGCTAATTATTGAATAATCCTCCAATGGTTTGGCTATTAGCTTGAAAATTATTAATATTACAAGCTAGTCCTCAAAAGCAACCATTGAAGTTGCTCTAATTAGCGCAAACTTATGATACACCAAAAAATAATTAAGAATAAAATAACAAGTTAATCATTTATTATTTCTTTGCCGAAAAATTCTCATGTGTGTGGGTGGAGACTGGGAAGACTAATTTTTTTTATCGTAAAAGGGAGATTGAAAGCAAAGCAAGAGTGATAGCATACTAAGAGGCTAGCTAGGAGATCGAGAGAGAAAAAAATGGAGGAGTGAAAAAGTTAATCGTACTATTTACATATTTATTCATAGTACTGAATAACATTAAAGGTAGTCGCCCAGTCGCATTGGCATTTGAGCTTAAAGCTTGATTGTGAGCATCTACCACCATATCCCTATGACCAAGCAAATAATACAGAGCTAAAAAATGTTGTCCTGTGTTGCGACTTTTCTCCAGGTTAGTTGAATGTCCTATAAAGTTTCCCTGTAATATATAGGCTTACCAAATTGAGAGAGTCATCACTGAGGAAATAATTAAAAAGTGCCAAAGTAAAGCCCACAAACACTATAAACAAGCTAAAGCTTCTACATGATTTGTCGAGACCGCCAAACTGTAGTAGTAACCACGGCCTTTCCCTTCTTTGTGTTTGAGTACTTCTATACATACACCACCCTATCCCGATTTTCATATCTAACCCAAGCTGTAAGAAAATCCAAATTGATTTCAAAAACCCTAATTACACATATCTTTCCTTTTGGTTGCATTGTCATTTTGGTGCAAGAAAAATGAATAATGAAACCCTAATTTTAGTTATGCATAATTTGATTGAGTTGTGCCTAAAATTAGAGAGGAACTAGTATAGAACCCGTGCAATTGCACGACTTTAAAAGTTCAAATATTAAATCTCACAAGATTTAAGTTATAGTTTGCTTGATGCACAATAGTGAAAGACATAATTAACTTAATGTGTGCCCATTATCTGCAATTCAATGTTTAAAAAATAGATAGAAACAAAGATATTGTAGACATCTACTTTTGGTCCCCTATCCCGACCGAAAGTGCTATGACGATAAATAATTTCATCTTTGTGCTAGATTGGAGTAAATAATGCTTATGGACTACTGATTAAAGCCTAAACACATAAACCAACTAGCTTGACCCAAAATGAAATGAACCAAAGCTTGTTAATACTAAGCCCGATCAGCAAATTAGGCCTAATCCCGAGATTAAACCTAATTTTGACGGATTTAGAAGCGCCTAGGTTAAAATTTAGGGTTGCCGCAGGAAAAACCGCGTGCAACTTAAGGAGTCGCGCTGGCCTGGCACGCGCAACTCACAAGGTTACGCGTGACACCCAGCGCAACTCCTAGTGACGCGCTTGCGGAAGATTCAAAATTTCATATATATACTAAATCGAATCTTACCATAAAGCCACGCGCAAGACCATAGGTTGCGCTGCCTAAAGCAGCGCGTCTAATTCACTTGCGCGCTGCAGCCGCAAGCAACCTGTTGAGTTGCGCGCGCCACCTGTTGCTGCAGAATGTCCGAAACCCTAAACTCACCCATTCCCTATAAATAGAGGTTCTATACAAGCTATGAACACTGATATGTTCATTTTATGTAGTATTTTATCCCCGTCCCTTGGTCATAGTTAGGAGTATTTTTGGCTCTTTACACTACAAGAAAACAGCTTAATTACGACGGAAATAATCCGTCGGAATAAGGCCTTCCGACGGAATTCAGTCGAAACAAATCTGTCGCAAAACATATTGTAGGAAATTCGACCTTTTCCGAGGGAAATTCCGTCAGAAGAAGTTATTCCGACGGAATTTTCGATGGAAAAGCATATGTCGGAGCTGAATTTGACTTTAAACGAAATTCCGTCGCAAAATTCCGACGAAGTATATTCCGTCGGAAAGGAATAGGTTCCGACGGAACTATTTCGTCGGATAGAAATAGGTTCCGACGAAATTATTCCGTCGGAAGTTATATCATTCCGACGGAATTATTCCGTCGGAACTTAATAAGTTCCGACAGAAATATTCCGTAGGAATTATGTAACCTCCTTCCGACGAATAATTAGAGCCACTTTTATTACTAATATACGTTTTCTAGTGTTTTCATAGTTGTGGTATTATTTTACAGGAAATTGCAGATTCGGAGCATTTTCCCCGTACTTAGTTGAGCCACCGCGAGCATTGTAGCAAAACGCGTTACTATGATCATATTCCGGAGCCCAGGGCCGCGTTAGAGAAATCAACCTGGTGATTAAAGGCTTGGTGAAGAAAAGAAGAGCTCGGGCATTGGACCGTAATTCAAGACCCAAGGATGGAATCTTATTGGGCCAAGAAAACTAGCCCAAAAGAGTTGAAGTAATCCTTTGCTCGGGAGCTCGCCCGATCGGGCAGGGCTTCGCCCAAAGGCGCGCCCGACCGGGCGAGGGAGATAGTAAAGGGCGAGCTTCGCCCGGACGCGCGCCTGACCGGGCGCGAGCAAAGCATTAGAGAGGAAAAAGGCGCGTCCTCGCCTGACCGGGCGCATGTTTACGTTAGGAATTTTAATTTATTTTAGCTTTTTCCTTAATTAGTATTAGGAGCTTAGTATAAATACTTTGGGGTTGCTTAAATTGTATGACGTTTTTTAGACCGACAATTACGTTTGTCATAGATTAATTTCCAGATTTTTGCTTAAGCTTTGTTCTTGATACTCTTGTTCACTCTACATTCTTTGATTTATGCAATTCATCCTTTCCATTTAATTTGGTAACGATTTATTTCCTTTTTATTTTCAGTAATTTAATTGCTTTGGTTAATTATGATTTGTTTAATTACTTTGTTTAGCTTAGATTTGATTATGAGTGAGTAGATTTATTTCTAGGGTTTGTGGGGATCCATAAATAATATGAAGGGGTAAATTATTATTGTTGGTTGTTAATGCTTGATTAATATCCTATTAATTGATTTAATGCTATGCAATTAGATTTGGCCAGATTTAATTGTATGAGTTATGCAATATTGATTCGAGATTCGAGAGATGAGAATTGATGTTTAGGCTTAGTTTCAATAGGCATGTTAATCTATAAATGGTTAAGTCAAGATTTGAGAGATGCGATTTAATACCGGTAGATTAATTATGTGATTATAATACGTAGCGAAAGCCCTTTATAATCTGATTAATTTATGCATTGATGATTGATTGTTATGTTTTACCCTGGAATATTATTTATTGGTGAACCTATACCCTAGGCCTTTTATTATTGATTATTCCCTTATTTGATTTGCTTAGTTTAATTGTTAGTTTAATTCCCACAATACAAATTGGTTACTTGATAATTTAGATTATGATAATTGATTAGGAATAAAAGAACATTGTTTCCCTGTGGATTCGACCCTACTTCCCTATCTACTTTAGTTAGAGGACTTAGGAATTACTTTTGATTAGGTGATACGACTAGAACCTGTCAAACACACAAAAATTAGCCTAACAAGTCAGCAAAAACTTTGTGAACTTATGCAATAATCATCCCTCTTGTCCTAAACACTCACCCTTTAATTGTTTTGTTCTTACGGTGGAGGTTCCCGAACAAGAAGGAGTCCATAAGTGTTCTCAACGAAGATCTAGCAA